GAAAAAAACAAAACGGGAAGCGCTTCCCCCCCCGCTTCGTTTCTTTCACTTCTGTTTTTTTCGATTGATTGATTGATTGATTGGTGGGGCAGGGGTCATCGGGATGGGGATGGGGATCGGGATCGGGATCGGGATCGGGAAGCGGAAATAGAGGTGGTGACGCTGGGCGGATGTGGGCCGAGGCGGGCGGAGGGCGTCGGGTCAGGATAGGGGAGGTAGGCGGAGGTCCGCGTAGGTAGGCGGACCTAGGCGGAGATAAAGGGAAGTCAGCGGAGGTCAGCGGAAGTATGCGGAGGTAGGCTGAAGTCCGCGGAGGTAGGCGAAGCTCCACGGAGGTGAGGGTGGGGGAGATGACACCTTCGCCACCAAACAATCAATCAATTAAAAAAAAAAAAAAAAAAGGAAAAAAGCTTAAAAAAACGAAAAAGCCGCTTTCAAACCACTCACAACTAAATGTGTGTGTGTGTGTCTGTCTCTTTCTCTCTCTCTCTCTCTCTCTCTCTCTCTCTCTCTCTCTCTCTCTCTCTCTCTCTCTCTCTCTCTCTACTAATCAATCAATCAATCAATCAATCAATCAATCAAAAAAAAAAACAATCAAGTGAAGAAACCGAAGTGGGGGGGGGAGAGAGCACTTCCGCTTTCCCCCCCCACCTCGTTTTTTTCACTTTTGATTGATTGATTGATTGATTGATTGATTGATTGATTGATTGATCGAATGGTGGGGAAGGGATCGCCTGGATGACGATCGAGATTGCGATCGGGAAGCGGAAATGGAGGTGGCGACGCCGGGCGGATGTGCGCCGAGGCGGGGGAAGGTCCGCGGAGGTCGGCGGACGTAGGCTTAGGTAGGCGGAACCGCGGAGCTAGGCTGAGGTCCACGGAGGTAGGCGAAGCTCCGCGGATCTGAGGGTGGGGGAGACGACACCTTCGCCACAAATCAATCAATCAATGAAAAAAAAAAAAAAAGGAAAAAAGATAAAAATAAAACGAAAAAGCCGCTTTCAAACCGCGCACTACTAAATGTGTGTGTGTGTGTGTGTGCGTGTCTCTTTCTCTCTCTCTCTCTCTCTCTCTCTCTCTCTCTCTCTCTGTACGTCCGTACATATACGGCCCGTACGTACTCCCGTACGACCGTACGTACGGAACCCCTGCCGTGCGTACGGGATTGCAGCCGTCCGTACACGGTCTTCGAGGGGGGGGTCGGGCGTGATTTTCTGGTGGTTGGGTGTCGGGTGGCCGTGGGAGTCGGACTGAACAAAAAAAAAAAAAAAAAA